GCTGGCCTCGAACTCACAGAGATCCACCTGGCTCTGCCTCCCTAGTGCTGGGATTAAAGGCGTGCGCCACCACCGCCCGGCTTGTGACAGCTTTTCTAATCCACAGTCCCACCACACCCACACCCTGTTCGCCATCTCTTTATTCACCAGACTGAGAGAGTAGAAGGAAGTGATCTTGGTACACAGAGCTTTACAGATCAGGCGACTCATGGGATAGGGGTTGGGTTTCGTCGGAAAATGAGCTCAGGGTTAGAATCAGAGGACCTGACTTTGGTCCCAAGTTGACATTCACCCTGCCCTAATTTTGGCTAAAAGTTGCCTCACTTTGTGGGATGTAATGTCCACATTGTCAGGGAAAGAAACGATAACTATCGCACAGAATCCTAAGAGATGAGGATGACTTTAAAACTAGATTGTCATGCCTAGAGGAGAAATGTGGAGTTTATGGGACAGAGGCGAGTGAAGCCTGGCAGACCAGAGAAGGTGCACAGGGCTTGGGAAGCCTCCCAGGAAAGCTCTCTGAACTCTTCTCAGAAGCCAAACTCATGCTTTGATTACACCACGGAGTCCTTCCTGACACTGATGTTGTAAACAGCCTAACACTTGCCATAATGAGTTGCCCATGCTTTATCCCCTCTCAGTCTGACTCACTGTTAGTAGGCGCGGTTAGAATCAGATCCAAAGTGCAGCAGGTACAGAACTTTTCTGGAGTCTGCTGGCCAGCGGGGAGGAGAGCTGCTGTAAGCAGCCAGACTGACTGGCACACTTCACCTCTGTCAGTGACAACTTATTTCCATACCAGTTCAACGGGCTTTTCCAAGGATGGTTCTAATGCCCCTCAGATTTCGGGGTCACGCTGGGAGAGCACATGCCCACTGAAAGCCTCTCCCTCTGTCTTTGCAGTGTGCCCTCTGCCCCCAGAGCCAGAGAATGGCGGCTACATTTGCCACCCCCGGCCCTGCAAAGACCCCTTGACGGCAGGCAGTGTCATCGAGTACCTGTGTGCAGAAGGCTACATGCTGAAGGGCGACTACAAATACCTGACCTGCAAGGATGGCGAGTGGAGGCCGGCCATGGAGGTCAGCTGCCATCTCAATGAAGGTCAGTCTGCAAGTGACACGGGGTGCTGCCCGGCCTGCTCTTTCCCAGTCTCTGGGGAATGGCGTGGGCTTTCTTGAGAGCTCCCTTGGCTGTGTTCAGCCCTTTGGCCTCTCTTTCTTTGGCATTCCATGTCTTTGTGGATGTCATTGGGGTTGCTAGTGCATGTCACGTTGCGTTCCACTGAACCATTGAGAAGCTCTGTGTCTTTATGGAGGCATCTGCCTGACTATGTAAAATTCCTTTGATGTCAGGATCTCTGTTTGCCTAGTCAGATGCTGACGGCCTTAGGCTGTTCTGTCTGCTCGTAAAGTGAACAGCGAGCACAGAGCTAACATATTTTCCAGTGTCTTCTCCATTTTATTTTTCCCTTGAATAGAAAGTGACAGTTTTGTTATGGAGTTACAGCCCAGCTGTACAGAATCCTTCTGTTTCTTTCCTGCCTCTTCTTGTCTTGCATGACAGGAAGATGCAGATTCCTAAAAGGAAGTGTGTGTTGTGTGGCCTTCTCTCTGTTTCACACTTGGGCCTCAAGACCAGAGCGTGCTTAACCCATAACACCTCAGAAGAGGGTGGGAAACAGTACGGGGTTTACAGTGAAGCTGAGGGCCTTAGAACAGGACCTTATTATTTGCCCTCTTCTTAATTATCCTGCTATATGGGGGAAAACATGGTGGAACTCAGGGTGGTTGAAAGATGTGGCCCTTTTAATGGTGGGTGTTCGCCAGCCTGCTATTGGTGTTTTAAGAACTCCAGAGTTAAATGAGTTTAGGTACCACTTGATCTGGGGGGTGGGGGTGGGGATATCTTATTCAGGGAATACCTAGGCCACTTTATAAGATTTTCCTGAAAAGGCCCAGCTGTCAAATAAATGTTTCTGTCAAATATTCTATATTCTGTAGGAAATATTTGGCTGCATCTGTAGAGGCCATGTGTTATGCTTCTGGGTACCAAATGTTTGTGATGACTTGTTTCCTTAGACAAAGAAACTCACACGTCACTCGGGGTCCCTGCGCTGTCCATAGTGGCTTCCACTGCCAGCTCTGTAGCCCTCATTCTTCTCCTCGTGGTGCTGTTTGTACTGCTGCAGCCAAAGCTGAAGTCTTTCCATCATAGCAGGTGAGCACACTGTTAGTCAAGCATCCCCGTGAGACCGACCTTGGACTAGTTATAGAAAGCTGTTGGCCTATAGCCTCTGCTAGTCTGTATCTTAGGGCAGTGGAGAGGAGGGTCTGGCTGTGTGTAAACTCCTGGATATGCCTGGCACTGTGCTTGTTGGTTCACATACATTGCTTTGATCCTGATGGGAACATTACAGACAAAGAAACTGAGGCATTCACGTTATATCTCAGGATGATTGCAGAACTGAGATTTGAACCTAAATCTGTCCAGCCTCAAAGCCTTAGCATTTCCACTTGTCTCTGGAGTGTGGGTCTAGCACCATTGGCATCACTCCTGAGATACTTTGGAGCTAAGGCACAGTGATAGGATTTATAGTCCTCTGTATGATGCTGATCCATGGTTGTATTTGCAAGCTGCCTCTTCCTGCTCCTGGTTTCTAATCCTTAGTGCACCTCGGCTTCCCCCGAATTCTAATTTATTCGGTTTGGAGTGGGATCCAGGCCTTAACATTTTCTAGAAAGCTTCTCAGATAGTTTTAATGTGTAGTGAAAATCCAGGATCATAGTACCATTCTGAAATCAGAAGTGGGTTTTATCTGCAGATTCTCCTTTTTCTCTTACAGAATATTATCTATTAATCATCCTAGACTCAGGAGATGGGGGGGGGCGGCAAATGGTGGGAATGGCCCTGAGTGTATCTCTGATAGGGGACTTTTCTCCTGCCCTAACTTGGCCTCTGTAGTTGCTTAACTCTTGAGGGTGCCTCATGTCTTTGAAAAATAGATTGTTTAGATTCATTCATAGCCCTGCATTAGTCACTGTCTTAGCTCTCAGGCATAGCAGTCCAGACTAACCACATTCTATAAAATGCTCCACATTTGGAACTTGATACAGACTACCCTCAAGTTAATTTCTGTATAGGAATGTGATTTTTCCTTCTTCCTCTTGTTTTGTTTAGAAGAAAGGAGGAGTAACAATTATTTTTAAAGAGTTTTTTTTTTTTAAGATTATTTATTTATTATGTATACAACATTCTGCTTCTATGTATGCCTGCATGCCAAGAGGGCACGAGATCTCATTACAGATGGCTATGAGCCACCATGTGGTTGCTGGGAATTGAACTCAGGACCTCTGGAACAGCATGCAGTGCTCTTAACCTCTGAGCCATCTCTCCAGCCCCCTTAAAGAGGTATTTTGAAGGGAACTATTTATTTATGTTTACTATGTGAGTGGACATGTGCCATACCATGATGTACATGTGGGGATCATAGGACAACATACACTGAATAAATAAATTAATTTTCTTTTGTTTTTCAAGACAAGGTTTCTCTGTGTAGTTTTGGCTGTCCTGGAACTCACTCTGTAGACTAGGCTAACCTAGAACTCACAGGTATTGGCATCCCTCTGCCTCCCAAGTGTTTGAATTAAAGGCATGTACAACCATGCCCAGCAAAAAATACTTTTTTTTTTTTTTTTTTTTTTTTTTTGAGCTGAGGATTGAACCCAGAGCCTTGAGCTTGCTAGGCAAGCATTCTACCACTGAGCTAAATCCCCAACCCCCAAAAATATTTTTTAAGTTTCCTTTTTATTTAGAAATCTCTGGGTACTTTTAGGGATGCTAATTGTCTTCAGTGTATATGTTATTTGAATTGGGCAATGTAGATTGTGTCTGTCAGGTACAAGTAAGGAAATCAAGAGTTGTGAGCAATGGTAATGCCAATATAGGCTGGCATCTGTACAGGCCTCTCATCAAATTCCCCTCAGATGCCTGCCCTGACGAGATTTCTCCCAGTCCTGGGGAAGACACTACAAGCCGCAGGGATATGAATCTGAGGGATATCAAATGAATCTACTTACACAGAACTCCTTAGTCCATACACTTTGTTCTTCTGAGTCAGAATCTATCTGCACAGCTTCAGCCCTGTTCTCTTCTCTGCCCCTTCCTCTCATGCCCTCATTGTTCTGTCTCCATTCCTTCATCTTCGTTCATCTTCTTAGCTCTCTCCTCATCTTTGCCAGTTCTTCTAGTCCTCTCTCAAGTCTCTGAGGCTTTCAGTTATATGCCCATACAAAGCAGCAATTCTCTCGCCAAAGTAAGGTCACAAGGCTTGAATTCTTACAGGGTCATAAAGGCGGATAAGAGTTTACCTTAGGCAGTGACTGTTAGGCTTTCTTTTACAACCCAAAAGGGGAATGGTTAAAGTAAGTGGGATCAACTGAGAGCTAAAATCAGTTAATATATCAAAAAAGGGGAATTTGTGTGCTTAAACTACATTCCTAGAAGTGGTTAGGTAAAATGTTAGGAGTCTATAATGTTAGTATAGATCATGAGTAAAATAAAACTGCCTATATTTCTTTAGGAGCCGTCACTGTAAAACTTGGCAAGGGTAACTAGGCAGCCTGCGTCACAGCTTGATGTACCTGGTATGAAAAAAGCCCTTTTGTTTTGAATGTCAAAAGGGAAGTCTAAAGATAGCACTAAGGCTGTGTAAGAAAGGAGGGTCTGAGTTTAATTTGCACAGAAACAAAGCTAACATCCACCTGGCCTAGGCAGTGTCTCTGTATAGATATTTACCTTAATTCAGGAGACTAGCAGGTTGTCTGGAATGCTTATTCTGTCTGTCGTTTGTCCTTGGATGTTTGAGAGGTATCTCAGGTAAAATGCTTTTTTGTTTGGAGCTGGCCCTGGCCTTGAATGCTAGCTAGCTAAAGGAGATATCTGATTCTAATGCTAAAAAGGAGAAACCAAAAGCCTGGAAGAAGGAAGCCTTGCCTGTGTGACTGTTATCCAAACACCTTAATTGTATATGGAAAAACTATGCCCAAAGAATGATCAGTACACTGCAGTAGCACACGAGAAATTCAAAGCAGGAAACGGCTAATATTCAAAAGCCAATATCACCAAGACTCCTTACGACTTGGCTTTGTCCTCTGGAAGGCCCTTGACTTTGTCATAGTCAGCTGAATTCCTTCTTCATATTTCCGTGGCTTGTAGCAGCCTCTCAGTGTGGAAAATGAACACATCTTCCCTCACCTGGACACTTAAAAAACTGTCAGGGTCTCAAGGCTGGAGAGATGAGCCAGCAGTTAAGAGCACTGGCTACCCTTCTAGGGGACCCAAGTTTAATTCCTGGCATCCACATGATGGCTTACAGCCATCTGTAAATCCAGTTCCAGAAGATCTGACACCTTCTTCTGGCCTCTGCAGTGTTGCGCCCGTGTGGTGCACAGACATGCATGCAGACAAAACAGCCATACACATAAAAGAAAATAATTTTAATTTTTAAAAAATGTCAATGTCAGCCGGGCGGTGGTGGCGCACGCCTTTAATCCCAGCACTAGGGAGGCAGAGCCAGGAGGATCTCTGTGAGTTCGAGGCCAGCCTGGGCTACCAAGTGAGTTCCAGGAAAGGCGCAAAGCTACACAGAGAAACCCTGTCTCGAAAAACCAAAAAAAAAAAAAAAAAAATGTCAATGTCATAAACTCTAGTGGATACTCTAGAGGGATAGAGATGAAAGGGACGGGACAACTAAACACAGAGTGTGTGTGTGTCTCAGGGTCACTGATGCTGTGACCAACTTCCACAGCCACAAGCCTTCACCGAAGGAGGTATGGGCTGAAATTTAAGGCAGGAACCTGGAGGCAGGAACTGATGCAGAGGCCATGGAGGAGTGCTGCTCCTCATGGCTTGCTTAGCCTGTTTTCTTATGGAACCCAGGACCACTGGGATGATCCCGCTCACAATGGGCTGGGCCTTCCTACATTAATTGCTACTCTGCAGGATTACCTACAGCCCAATTTCCTCAACTGGGATTTTCTCCTCTCAGATGACTCCAGCCCAGTGGTTCTCAATCTGTGGATAGCATGCATCCCCCTTGGGTTCAAGTGACCCTTTCATTGGGGTTGCATATTAGATATTTACATTACAATTCATAACAGTAACAAAATTACAGTTACGAAGTAACAACGAAATAATTTTATGACTGGAGGTCACCACAATATGAGGAGCTGTATTAAAGGGTCACAGCAGGGCTGGAGAGAAGGCTCAGAGGTTAAGAGCAATGTCTGTTCTTCCAAAGGTCCTGAGTTCAATTCCCAGCAACCACATGGTGGCTCACAACCATCCGTAATGAGATCTGGTGCCCTCTTCTGGCATGCAGTAAAACATACTGTATACATAATAAATAAATCTTTAAAAAATAAAAAACAAAGGTTCACAGCATTAGGAAGGTTGAGAACCACCATTCTAGCCTATGTCAAGTTGACATAAAATTAGCCAGCACAGTAAGTTTAATTCTGGATAAAAAGAAAGAACAGAGCAGCAGTGGGTGATTTTACAGTTTGGGAAGTTGGTATATGGTACACTATTGTTAAGTTTCTAGAATGTAGCAACACTAAGTTATATGGGGAAAGAAGTCCTGAGGCTTATACAAAATTATGTCTTCACCATGCTTTCAAATGGTTCCAGAGGGGGGGAAGTGTGTATATAACAAGAGTGAACCCCAGAAAATGTGTGTGTATAAATAAATCTCACAATGTTCACTCAAAAGAAGCCAGAGGGGTTACGTGTCTAAACATATAATTTAAAGCTAAACCAGTGTTGAAGGATTTTGTGTTACAGTCAAACTATTAAATACAAAGTAAGAGCTGGGTGATAGGTGACAAATGCCTTTAATCCCAGCACTTGGGAGGCAGAGGCAAGTGGATCTCTGAGTTTGAGACCAGCCTGGTCTACAGAGTGAGCTCCGGGACAGCTAGGGCTACACAAACCCCGTCTTAAAAAACCAAAATAAAAAGTAAACCAGGCAGGACTGGAGAGATGGCTCAGTGTTTAAGAGCACTGACTGCTCTTCCAGAGGACCTAGATTCAATTCCCAGCACCCACATGGCAGCTCACAACTGTCTGTAACTCCAAGATCTGACACCCTCACACAGACATACATGCAAGTAAAATAAAAATAAAAAAATTATTTGGGGGAGCGGGAAGTAAGCCAGGCCTAGTATTGTATGCCTGTAATCCAGCACTTGGGAACCTGAGGTAAAGTAACCCTGAGTTCAGGATTTGTCTGAGCTTAAATAGTAGCAAGACATGTTTCTTTAAAACAAAATCAGCTGGTGTGGTGGTGTATACCCTGTCTCAAAAAAAAAAAAATAAAAATCAGAGAGGTGGTTTCCATGTAAGTCAGGGCACAGTGGTGTGAGGAAATGGGGGGAACAGGCTGGGCACAGAACGTCTGCGCTGCAGTTCCTGACCTCAGTGGGAGTGTACACCAGTGCCACCTTTGATCATGCAGGGGCCTGTATGTAGGCTTTGCCACATGTTCTTTTCTGCATTTGTGTTGAAATTCATCATTTTATGTATAATTTTTTTTTTAAAGACAAGAGTCTCATGCTGTAGACTGCCTGGCCTCAAACATATTTTTCTGCATCTGCTTCCCAAGTGCTGGGATTAAAGGCACGCACTGCCATGCCCAGCAAGATGTATGAGTTTTTTGCCTACATGTATGTCTGTGCATGATATGTGGATACTGGAAAGCAAACCCCAGGTCCTTTGGAAGAGCAGCCAGTGCTCTTAACCATTGAGCCACCCTCTCCAGCCCAAGAACACAAGTCTTTAGAAGTATGTAAAACTGGATTCAATCCCAAGCCCGTCCCTTACCGGCTCTCTGACTGCTAAGCAGTTACACTAGTTCTCTGAGCCAAGCCCACACTCTTGGTGAATCCCTACGTGAAAGGATTCAGGTGAGGATCCAGTCAGTGTGTTAAAGTGTGTAAATCACTTCCTACTTGCTGACATATAGTAAGTGTTGGAAAATGATGGATTTTGTTGGTACAATGTTATTGATTCATCTCTGTGTTGCTCAGATTCTTTCCTCTTTTTCTTTTCTGATACAGGCGTGACCAGGGGGTTTCTGGGGACCAAGTCTCCATCATGGTGGATGGGGTCCAGGTTGCACTACCTTCATACGAGGAAGCTGTGTATGGCAGTTCTGGTCACTGCATGCCACCGGCTGACCCCAGAGTACAGATTGTTTTGTCGGAAGGGTCTGCGCCTCCTGGGAGGAACATGCCAAGGGAGCCACAGCTGCAGGGCCAGGGGGCCTGCTCCTCTGCAGGTGGAGAGGAGGAGGCCCCGGGCCATTCTGGGCTGTGTGAAGCCTGGGGTTCCCAGGGCTCAGAGACTGTGATGGTGCACCAGGCAACCACCTCTTCCTGGGTGGCCGGCTCCGGGAGCAGCCAGCTGACACACAAAGACACCGCAGACTCGGAGAGCAGTGACATACAAAGCCTTTTATCCCTCACCTCAGAGGAGTACCCAGATGGTAAGCGGTCTTTGCTGAACATGGATTACGGGCTGTTGGAATCCTTGCTGGGAGTGAGGAAGCCCCGTGGGCCACTCTGATAATTGGTGTGTTTTCACCCTCCCCACCCCCCAAAAAAGGGGTAATAGCCAGAGTGTTAGCCTACAAAGTAGGATTTGGTCTTCAGAATGCCAGGTAGAGCTTTGGGCTCTCCTAGGGAGACTTCATTGCTAGCTATGAATCTTGATGGCTCTGGATCTAATACTGTTCACAGCCATAGGCTCTGCTAAACCAACCGGATGGGTTTCAGGGTATAGGGCGATTAAAAAGTTTTGTATTCATAAAAGGCAGAAAATAACAAGGAGAGCTTGTGCTGTAGTGCTGAGAAAATAGTAGCCTGCGTGTCTTGTAGAGAAGAGCGCGCCTTCGTTTTACACAGGAGTGTAACCCTGGTTTCCTTGTGCTGTCCGTCTCAGTTAAGCTTGATAGTGAGTGCTAGGTATTTATGACTGCCCCATTTTACAGATGGAGAACATAGGGCCCAGTTTCACTTGTCATTTATCACTGGTCATTGACAGATGTAAAACTGAATGACAGGCTCTAAACCAGCATTTTTAACCTTACAGTGCCATGATGGCTCCCAGGTAACTCTATCTCCTTTGTGTCAGACTGGCCATAGAGTGCAATGGTTGTTGCCTACTGACAGTCTGCCTTTGCTGGAGCCTGGAGAGTTTAACTACAATTCAAATCTGTCACTTTAAAGAATATCTGTAAGTGAAATCTCAGTGTAGTTCAGGATCCAAACAAAGCCTCGAAGTTCCCAGTTGGTAGTAACACTTTCAGTCTTTCTGAAGGATCCCCAGAGGAAACTTCACAAATCCTGGTGTCCTGGATAGAGTCTTATGTCTAACACTTAGAAATGTGTCTGTCGGTAGCCTGCCTTCTTTGCTCTCTGTTGGAGAGGGATGTCGAGGATCCTGTGATCACTGACCCAGTTTGGATGTGGCAGTCAGTGACCTCGGGACCCTCGGGCACATGTGGCTAAGGACACCTAAGGACACGTGGCATCCTTTATCCTTCCTCAGGAGCCATGGAGGTTCCCTGCTCTGCCTTGATGGCTACTTGGTTTTTTTTTTTTTTTGTTTTTTTTTTTTTTGGTTTGGGGGCTTTTGTGTTATTTTATTGTTGTTTTCAGGGACGGGGCCTCTCTGCATAGCCTCAGAAACCGTTGTCCTTCTGCCTTAGCCTCCCAAGTCTCTGATCACAGTGGTCTACCATGTGCTGGCTTTTTTTTTTTTTTTTTTTTTTTTTAAAGACAGAGCCTCACTATGTAGGCTTGGCTGGCCTGAAACTCACTGTGTAGACCAGGCTGGCCTCAACCCCACAGAGATTGACCTGCTTCTGCCTCCAATTAAAAATATTCTGCTGGAATTAAAAGTATAGGGTTGGGGATTTAGCTCAGTGGTAGGCCCTGGGTTCGGTCCTCAGCTCCGGAAAAAGAAAAAAAAAAAAAAATGTGTCATCACACCTGGTTTAAGCAAACCTTTGAAAGCCTCATCTGTTTGGTGCCAAATGAGGAAACATGCCCACTGCTGCATGGAGTATCAGTTGAAAGGACAGTGGGGCCTGCATTGAAGAAATTATGGAACCAATAATTGTAGTGCTAGCCAGATATGGTGCCTCAGGCCTGCAATACTAGCATTTCAGAGACTGAGACAAGAGGACCACAAGTCCAGGTTAGTTTGAACTGCATTGACCCTATCTCTAAAACAAATAAGACCAGCAAGATGACTCAGCAGGTAAAGGCACTTGCTACCAAGCCTGATGGGCTGAATTTGATCCCGGGCCCCACATGGTAGAAGGAGATGTACACACACATTAAAAAAGAAATAAAGTTTAAAAAAATAGAATAATGGCCTGACAGTGGTGGTACGCGCCTTTAATTCCAGCACTCAGGAGGCAGAGCCAGGAGGATCTCTGTGAGTGAGTTCCAGGATACAGGCTACAGAGTGAGTTCCAGGATAGCCAGGACTTTACACAGAGAAACCCTGTCTCAAAAAACAAAACAAAACAAAACAAAAATAGAATAATGAAATAAAAACTGGAGAACTGATGCCATAATGAGGTATTCAGAAAACAAGATACTTAAGACTGATGTCCTAGGAACTCAGGAGCTTGACACATGGGTCTAACCTTCTCCCCTCTGGTGACATAGGAGAAGACCAGAACCCAGAAAAACAAAGTGATTTGTCCAGGTCCACACACATGGCAGGGGGCTGTAAGGACGTGCTGGGACTTGGGGAGGACTTTGTGGCTTCTTAGACCAGCAGAGAAGAGAGACGGGGTTGTGTTGGGGGACCAGCAGGTGTTTGAATGCCAGGCTCGGCATTGAGATTTTATCATTCAGGCAGTAGGAGAGATGAGGCAGAAAGCAAGAAATCTGACTAGTTTAGATGTGTGCAGCAGAACGTTTATTTCTTTAAATGGGTGGGGGCTGTGGGGGGGCTCCTCAGGTAGAGTTGGGATGATATTGAGAGACACCTTTAGGTAACTACAGGCCTTTCCTCCCCATCTTTCTGCAGATATCCCCCTGTTGAAAGAAGCGTGAGGACTGCCCGTCCTCTCTCCTCTCTGCCCGTCCGTCCTCTCTCCTCCTGTGGGTTTGAGTACCGTGTCCTCTCCAGCTGCCCCACCTGGATGCCTGAGCTGCCACCTGTGTATCTGTGTGTACCTGAGGGCCTGCAGGCCACCCCGCTGGATACGCAAGGAAGAGTCTCACCATCTGCCCGCTGAACAGCTGGAGGATCTGGCTCTTTGCCTGGCCCGGCCTTCCCATCTGTCAGGGACATGTCTGAATGTGCTGGATTGAACCCTCCCTTTCCCCGAGCCACTGGGTCCCTTGCAGCCAGCTCTCTGGTGACAGCCCCGCAGTCACGAGGGCCCGAGCACTGCTGTGTTTACTTGTGCCTTCCCCCGCCCTGTCCAGGTCCCCTGTGTGCAGGTGGGTTGCTGTCCACAGGCCTCAGTGGCTGTTGCTACCTGTACACAGGGGCTGGTCCTGGGGCTGCAGAAACAGATTGAGCACTTAGGCCCTCAAAGCAGGAGAGACTCTTACTGGGGCCAGAGTGTGGGTCCCTGAACTTGCCCTGTGTGTTGACACTGATGGCATCTTCCTTGACTGAGGATAGAAGGTTTGGGAGGTCGTGCCAGACCTGCCCGGCACTCAGCTGTTCAGCTCGGGTGCAGGTTCCTGACTCTTTGGAGTTTCCAAGAAGCACCCAGAAGACCTATGGGAAGGAAGAAGGTTGTCAGATAATGATTGTCTTCCTAATATGCAAGTTCTCACTTCCTGCTTCCAGCATTGGCTGCCTTGGCCTTGGTTTCTGTTCCTGGATAAGGGGAAGTTGCATGCTGCCTCCTGGACTTCGTCCTAGGTAGCTCTGGCTTCCTTGCAGCCCACAGAACCCCAAGATTTGCTGAGATGCCAACAAAAGCTCATCTGGGTTTTGGCAGTCTGGGCAAGTTGCCCATTTCTAGGTTTGTGGTGATGGAGGAGAGGTTGAGAGGTACAGACCAAGTCCCCCGTGGCTGCAGGCAGCTCCGGCCAGGTCCCGAGGATCCTCCTCACCACAGTCACGTGCCTTAGTAACTCTGCCCAGGAAGTGGCCTGCTGAGCCGCGGCTTCTCCTGCTCTGCTCTCTTCTCCACGCTCTTCCACATAGCATTGCTGACAAGCCACTCTCTGTCTGTCCTGCAGGCCTGAGAAAGGATTCCCAGCACCCCTGGCTTTACCAGCTAATGTGGGTCGGCGGGTACCCAGAAGCCTGAGCAGTAGGCCTCGGGAGTGGGAAGGTGCTGGCATTGAAGGGGTGGGTGCTCCAGTCATTGTGCTGGGCCTCCTATGGCACTGAATACCTGGGTAGCTGAGCCCCACCAGGTTTCTGCCATCTTCAGAAGACATATGTGGCATTAGATTCTCGCTCGCTCGCTCCCTCGTTCTTTCTCTCCCT